GAGGTCCACAATCTGCCGGCCGAAACTCTCGTTCTGGCGCATAAGGGAAGCAATCGCCGCATCCCTTCTGTCATCGGTCGGATCGGTTCTCTTCAGTGGCATCGTGGATCATAGCTGATTCTGATTACCAACTGAAGTAGCGTAGCTTCGAACAAAAGGAAATAAAGAGATGAAATCTCAAAGTCTGTAATTTTTATTCAATGATCAATACGTTCATAAGAAAGCAGAAGGGAATAAATAGTCCCAACAAACTAGGTTTCCTAAACAAGGGAATAATACTTAAATAAATATGAACTAAAATAATAAAAAACAAGGAATAATAATAAAAGCTAGGAAATAAATAACTAGAATAAAGAAGGTATTCGGTCGTATTTTTGCAGAAACGCCATCGCGATCTCGTCTTCATCAACGACACATCCGAGCGCCCAAATATCGGGCACCACCTCTTGCTCGCTGCCCATCACGACTTCAGGAGACGGATACATAGGGGCTCCCCGCCAGCAAGAATTAGCCTCCCATAATTTCCTCTTCTTCCAGTTAGACCGTTTTGCCCTTTTTGTCAGGCCGAAATCTCCGATCTTTGATTTGAACTCGGTTTGACCGGTTATACTTTTTCTTGGTCGAGCACAAGTCGAATATTGTCGGGCTTTAGATCACAGTGGACGTATCCGGACATGTGGATGTGATTCAGGCCTTTGAGGAGGGACTGCGTGTGCATCTTCACCTCGTGCTCTGGTAGCCCGTCACAACCGAATTTGTTCATCTGGTCACCTAGGGTCCCGCCGCCAGCGTACTCTAGCAGCAGATTGTACCCCATCTTGCCGCCTTCTCCCTGAGTCAACTCGTCGCCAAAGCACTAGATCAGCTGGGGACATGGGAGCAACCCGGCCATCATGTGCTTCTCCATCTGGAGAGTGTCAAAATAAGAAAAGTCGTCAGACTTCACAGCCATCTCCGGCGGGAAGCAGCTATACTCAGAGCTGCCGTCCTTGAGAGTCGCCTTGTACACGCGTGCAGAAGCCCTTTTTTCCAGAAGCGAGCCTCGGGTCCACAAGCAATGGGGCTTCTATTAGTCCTTTGAGGTTTAGGAGAAGTAATGTGATCATTAGGATTTCACCGTGAGAGTTTGCGCTTTTGCTCGACTCTCAAGGTTTTGGAAGATAACCGCTGGGCAAAAATAAAATAATCAGTACTTTTAGAATTGAAAATACTTTTTTTTTGTTTCAATAAACAACACTCTTATATTTTCACAAAGCACACGACTTTGTTGTCAATAAATAATTTAGAAAAAAAACTATAATATTCGATTACACTTTCTATTTAGGATAATCAATTATAACAAATTTAACCGAATATAGGATGATTTCACTATTGGGTCTAAATTAATCAGACATTTATGCGACTCGATTTTAGATTACTAGTAAAGTGCACGTGTATCGTACGTGGTGATATATTCAGTAAAATAGATTAATCAATTTCTTAAATGTTGGTATGGCTCATATATTGACAAAGGAAGGAGGCAGGCTGATGCCTGCGAGTGTAGTGGAGCGAGCGTAGCGAGGGAAGCGGAGCGACCGAGCGAAGCGAGCGAAACGGTGGCATATTGCCAAACCACGTAAATCTTGTGTTGTTTACTTTTCATTTTTAATTCGTATGCCATATTGTCATCTTCTCTCAACAAGTGGTACTAGAGCCTGGTTGATTGGGCGACGGAGATGACGGGACGATCGAAATTCGAGGTCTCGAAATTTGATGGTCATGGCAATTTCGGATTATGGCAGACGAGAGTAAAAAATTTATTGGCGCAGCAAGGAATTCAAAAAGGGCTGCGCGCAGAGAAGCCTAAAGGGATGGAAGACGATGATTGGCAAGATGTGCCGGAACGGGCAGCCAGGACGATTCGGCTATGCCTTGCAGATGAAGTTATGTATCACGTTATGCATCTCAAGTCGGTGGATGAGATCTGGAAGAAACTGGAATCGCAGTTTATGTCGAAAACCCTAACGACAAAATTGTATCTGAAGGAGAGGTTATACGGGCTGAAGATGCAGGAGGGGACCGATTTAGGGCAACATGTGAATATCTTCAATCAGGTTGTCACGGATTTGACTTCACTCGAAGTCAAGATTGAAGATGAAGACAAGGCGATGATTTTACTGTGTTCGTTATCTCCTTCTTACAAACATATGGTGACTACCCTTACATATGGGAAAGAAACGATCAAGACTGAGGAGATTACTTCAGCGTTGTTGGCTCACAACCAGTGGAAACAGAAATCTGGAGAGTCATCTTCTCAAAGTGACAGTTTATATGTGAAGGGTAACCAGGATCGTGGAAGAAGACAGGTGCGAGATAATTCAGGAAATCGGAATTTCAGATCCAAGTCGCGATACAAATCGAAAGGGAGGAAAACTGTGACGTGTTATAAGTGCAAGGAACAAGGGCACTTCAAACGGGATTGCCCAAAGTGGAAGAAACAGACTGTTGATATGTCATCCAAGTCTGCGAATGTGGTACAGAATGAGGAATCTGATTGCAGTGATGGAGATGTTATTTATTTCGACTGCGCAGTATGATGATGCTTGGATTCTCGATTCTGGATGTTCATATCATATAACGCCTAACAGAGAGTGGTTTTCTACTTATAAACCAGGTAACTCGAGTTCTGTTTTTCTTGGTGATGATAGATGTTGCGGTATTGTCAGTATTGGGGATGTCAAAATCAAGATGTATGATGGAACTGTTAGGACATTATGTGATGTGAGACATATCCCTGAGTTGAAGAAGAATTTGATTTCTTTGGGTACTTTGCATAGAAATGGTTTCATTCCCAAGACTGATGAGGATAGAGAAACCATTAAGATTGTGAAGGGTGCCTTGACTGTGATGAAGGGGAGGATCACTGCAGGGAACATTTACAAACTGTTGGGAAGTACAGTTGTAGGTGGAGTCCATTCGGTGGAGTCGTGTGAAGATAGCTCGAAATTGTGGCACATGCGTCTTGGACACCTTAGTGAACATGGCATGACTGCGCTGCATAAGAGGGGGCTTCTGCATGGTGTTAAAACTTGCAAACTCAATTTCTGCAAGTTTTGTGTTCTGGGAAAGCAGACAAAAGTCAGTTTCAAGACTGCGAAGAAGAAGACAAAAGAAATTCTGGATTATGTACATTCAGATGTGTGGGGTCCTACTAGAGTGACATCGGTGGGTGGTTCTGTGTATTATGTGACCTTTATTGATGATTTTTCGAAGAAAGTTTGGGTGTATTTTATGAAGCATAAATCTGAAGTTTTTGCTAAATTCAAGCTACGGAAGGCTGAGGTGGAGAACCAGACTAGTAGGAAAATCAAGTACTTAAGGTCTGATAATGGTACAGAGTACACCGATTCACAGTTCCAGAAGTTCTGTGAGGAGCATGGGATTCAAAGGCATTTTACAGTGCGTAAAACACCACAGCAGAATGGTGTTTCTGAGAGGATGAATCGGACACTGGCTGAGAGGGCGAGGTGTTTAAGACTGAATGCGGGTTTGCCAAAGAGTTTCTGGGCTGAGGCTGTAAGTATGGCTTGTTATTTGAATAACAGATCACCACGTGCATCTCTGGATGGCAAAGTTGCAGAAGAAGTATGGACAGGTAATGATGTTAGTTTTGATCATCTGAAGATTTTTTGTTGTCCTGCTTATGTTCATATTCCTGCTGATAAGAGGTCAAAACTTGATGCTAAATCAAAGAAGTGCACTTTTCTGGGCTATAAGAAAGGTGTGAAGGGATACAAGTTTTGGGATCCAGTTGAGAAGAAGGCGGTGATTAGTAGAGATGCAGTGTTTGATGAACAGTCTATGTTGGGATCAGATGCAGATAAGGTACATGTGGAGTTGGAACCTATTCCAGCAGTTCTTGATAAGGGAGAGAGTTCGACTTCTACCTGATGATGTTGATCATGATGTTTCTGACACAACTGATGTGTCAGATAGCTACAAGTTAGCTCGGGATAGAGTGAGGCGTACCAATATACAAGCTCCGGTCATGTTTGGTTATGAGGATATGGTGGCATTTGCTCTTATGATCACTAGTGTGGATCCTTGTACTTTTCAGGAGGTTGTTTTTTGTGAGAACAGTGATAGATGGAAGGCTGTCATGGAAGAAGAGATGAATTCTGTACATAAGAATCAGACATGGGAGTTGGATGTTCTTCCCAAAGGGAAGAAAACTATTGGTTGTAGGTGGATTTATAAAAGGAAGTCATCGGTAACAGAAAAATGAGGGGAAAGGTTCAAGGCTCGATTGGTGGCTAAAGGATACTCACAGCAAAAGGGGATTGACTATGATGAGACATTTTCTCCTGTGGTTAGACATACTTCGATCAGGGTTGTACTTGCATTGGTGGCTAGTTGGGATTTGCATTTGGAGCAGATGGATGTGAAGACTGCTTTCTTGCATGGTGATCTCGCAGAGCCTATTTACATGCAGCAACCAGAGGGCTTCGTTCAACCATGGAAGAAGCATTTATTTTGCAGGTTGAAGAAATCCTTGTATGGCTTGAAGCAAGCATCACGGCAGTGGAATATACGGTTTGATTTGTATATGCTGAAGATTGGCTACAAGTGTTGTAAGTTCGATTGTTGTGTTTACACTAAGAGCCTTGGTGATGGTTCTATTATTTTTCTGTTACTTTATGTTGATGACATGCTTATTGCTTCTAAGAATATGCGTGATATTGTTGATCTGAAAGGCCTTTTGAGTCAAGAATTTGAGATGAAGGATTTGGGGGCTGCGAAGAAGATTCTTGGGATGGAGATTCACAAGGATAGAGGATCAAAGAAGCTATGGTTATCTCAGAAGGGTTATGTGGAGAAGGTGCTACAAAGGTTTGCGATGAATGAAGCAAAATCGGTGGGCACTCCACTAGCAAACCATTTCAAGCTTTCTGTTGATATGTGCCCCAAATCGGACAAGGAGCTCAGGATATGGTGGAGATACCTTATGCCAGTGCTGTTGGATGTCTGATGTATGTCATGGTATGTACTCGTCCTGATTTAGCTCATGTTGTTGGTCAAGTTTGCAAGTATATGTCTAGACCGGGTAAACAGTATTGGGAGACAGTCAAATGGATTTTCAGATATTTGAAAGGTACTGTGGGACATGGTATTGTGTTTGGAGATCAGCGGTTGGATCCTTTAGTTGTAGGATATGTGGATTCTAATTATGCTGGGGACTTGGATAATAGGAGATCTACCACTGGGTATTTCTTCACTTTTGGTGGAGGGCCTATTTGTTGGAGGTCGAATACTTAGCCTATAGTTGCTCTATCTACAACTGAAGGTGAATATATTGCTTTGGCTGATGCGGCAAAGGAAGCAGTGTGGCTTGCTGGATTGGTTAGAGAGTTGGGTATTCAGCAAGGTGGAGTCCCATTATATTGTGACAGTCAGAGTGCTATTCGTTTACAAATCTTCGATCATTATTGTTTGCAAATCTTTGATCTATCTTGAAAAAAAAAAATTATTTTAGCGTTGTTTATCATAATATCTTTTATATTCGTTCTAATTTTCAGTACTTATGTGCCTAATAACATCTTTAATGTTTTTATTGTCCAATTTGTTTTGCATCATACATAATTTATTTTGCATTCTTATTATTTATTTCTTATTTTATCTCTTGACCTCTAGATATAGGTCGGGGTAATGATATGAACAAAGTTAAGTGGTCACTATAAAATCATAAAGAAGTTGTGTCCACGCATTTATCTCCAGCACATGCTTGATGTGCATGGTAGGATGTAGCCACAATGTGCTTGCAGAAAATTTTAAGCCATAAACTACCAAACAGTCTTCTGAAACTCATATAACTTTTGATCATTTTGTATTTTTACGTCGACAAGAATCATCTGTTAAGTAGAGCAGACAGCGGGAAGGATGTTCGTCACTTGGAATTTGAAGCTGTTTCATCAGTAAGATGGACCAAGTATTCTCATGTTGGGTTAATTATCATTTTCTATTTGCCCAGAGACTTGGTTTTCCTCTGCGATTTGCAGCTCCTTTTTCTTGAGATTTGAATTCAAATTGTAGATACTATTCTATTCGATGTTTTCCTTTTGAGGTTCAGCATAGAGATGAACCGAGGTATGGTTTTCGGGATCTTTCTATGTTCCCTGTGAAGCTAAAATCGTTCGTTGAGTTAACAATGGATGTTGCATCAGCTTCCCCAAGGCGTTATTTCTTTGAGGTACTAAAGACAGTGATAACTCGCATTTTTCTGTATTCATCGGGTATTCGTGGTTTACATATTTTATCCATTAAATCAAGATTGTATTGAAGACCATAATGGGTGCATAATAATCTAGCAGTTGAGAAAACCCGTAAAACTTGGAGTTATGGTGTTAAATATTACTTGATCTAACTAATCATAGTTCAATAAGTAGAAGGTCAACGGCATGTAGTTGTTCATCTGTTTTGGGAAATGAAATGTTGTTCTCAATCATGTAGATACCAGAATAAGGTCTAGATTGTTAGACTATATAATCTAGGAAAAAATGTTGTTCTTTCCTGTCAACTTACTAGATTTTGACATCTTAATCGTTCTTCTCAACGAACATTTTTCCATTGTGTCAATGTTTAAAAATATAGTTGTCCTGATCTAAACTTCTTTAGGTCATGGGTCATTTTGCCACCGCTGAACACGAAAACGAGAGGCTGCAATATTTTGCCTCACCTGACGGAAGTGATGATCTTTACCAGTACAATCAGAAGGAAAGGAGGACTGTCCTGGAGGTGATAAGTTTTATGTATTTATTTTTTCAACTGAAAGTAAAGGATGTATAATGTGGGTCAGTTTTATCTCATGAGGAGTGGTAATAATGTGGATCATGTTCGTTTTATTCCCTGACGTTCGTTTCTAGAAATTCGGACCAAGTTCTTGTATAATTGCATGATTGATTTTCTTGTCTGTTTAATGTAGGTCCTGGAGGATTTTCCTTCCGTGCAGATGCCGTTAGAATGGCTGGTACAGATTGTCCCCCCTCTAAAAACAAGGGCGTTCTCCATTTCCTCCTCTTTCAGCTCATCCAAATCAAGTGCACTTAACTGTTAGCGTTGTATCATGGACAACTCCTTACAAGAGGAAACGTGAAGGCCTTTGCTCATCCTGGCTTGCCAGTCTCGATCCTGAGCAAAGTAAGTCCTTCACTATATGCTACGGTTGATTATAAATATCAACCGTGAATATCAACCGTGAGATTGAGCCTTAATTACAAAAGCATTCGACTTGTTTTAGAATTACAAATAATCTGCTGAAGTTTGCTCAGTATTACCAACTAAACTTCTCAACAGATGTAATTGTTATGTGGAGGGGTTTTATTGTAAAAGAGGTCTTTTAGTTGTACGAATACATTTCAGGACTGTTATCTTCATCTTGTACTATTTAATAAACCTTAAACAGGAGTTGTTATACCAGCATGGTTGAGTAAAGGTTCTCGTCCTGCCCCACCAGCATCACTTCCTCTCGTTCTCGTGGGACCTGGGACCGGATGCGCCCCTCTCCATGGATTTGTCGAGGAAAGAGCATTACAGAGAAAAACTATTCCCACGGCTCCAATCCTTTTCTTTTTTGGCTGTAGAAACCAAAGAGATGACTTTCTGTATTGGGACATTCAGAAAACAATGGAGTGCTTTCTGAAGACAAGGGTGGAGGATTTTATGTTGCTTTTTCGAGGGATCAACCGCAGAAGGTGTACGTA